GAAATAAAATTTTTAGTGAATATATGTAGTTTTTGTAGTTTTCATTTATTAAGGATTTAATTTATTATTGAAATAAAAAAAAAACGTTGGCTTTACTTCTGCTGAAACATCAAAGACATATAATATAATTATATTCTAATTTATTGACTTAACTGCAAAAATACGAGTATCTAAAACATTCGAAGTACATGAAAATGTATAAATAAACTGAAATATTGTTATTACATAGTTTTTGTATGAAATGAGAAATATTAAATAATTCAGTCTACCGAACTTCATTTTGTCGAAGAAGATGATGGTCAGGATGCTCAAATGACCAAGCAACTCTAGATACCCTAAAGATGGGGGATACTCAAATAAAGGTGTATGAGATTGCTATTATAGTAAAAATCTCAATTTAACTATAAATGAGTGATTAGAGAATAATCAAAACAGTGTGTTTCGTATCAGCTGAAAAAGGTTATTAGTTATATTTTTTAATAACAACGGAAAACAGCAAAAAGTCATTTTCAAAAAATAAATTTTAGAACAACTAGCTCAAACAGAAGTCAATGAGCCATTTAAACAGCTAAATGAGTTATATTATATACGGTGATATATTTACCTCTATTATATTCACCAAATCAATCAAATTTTGTTTTAAAATTTTAAAAAAATTTTAGAGAATATATATGGATCGAGTATAATGTCTGTAATTAACATTTTGAGGACCTATTTCTTTTTCTAGAGACGTAAGAAATTCTAATAATGCATCAAATGTATAAAGGTCAAAGTTGACTATTATGTCATTTTTCACTAATTTACAAGTCTAACGTTATAGTATAGAATATATAGGAGTCTCTATGCTACATACCCTTGGAAAGCGTCGTATTGTAAATTCTATAGCAAAACCGAACACCACAAAATTTAATTTCTGAAAAGAAGTGTAGTGTAACAATGCCTAAAATTATCCCTCAAAACAACGTCATTAAAAATAATTGCGCAATAGAACAGCCCGCTATCGATCCAACACATAGTAAGATCTAATATATAAATGAATAAGTGTTGGAAATCTCCACAATCTATAGAGCTTATTTAAAGAAAAAAATTTCAACCTATGACCTTGAGGGAGAAATATATAAATATATCTATAGACAGCATATATACACAAAAAAAATATCAATAACAGCATGAAATAGACAATTGTAATTTAACTGCCTGCATAACATGTTTTCATGGTTATGATTAGAAAGATAGTTAATCTAATGTGCCTTCATCGTATGACTATCTGCTTAGCATGATACTAAGAAATATAATAAATATTTTTAATCTAGTTAGTAATTAGATGTCAATATAAATAGTTAAGTTAAATCAGAATACAATGTATTTCAGTTAAAATAAATTTTGTTTGGAATAAGTTACTCAAAATTATAAAAAAAAATTTTGTTTCTGAAACTAAAAATGTAAAACGAAATGAATGGTATAAACTAGACGAGTTTCTGAAGAAGAACTTTCCTTTATTAGAACTCTTAAAATGTACTATTCAACGATGTAAAGAATGCCAATTTAAAATATTAAATATACTACTCAAATATTAATCGCGCAACTACTTATAAGTTCAAGGATATGTAAAATGAATATTAGTAGGGTATTATGTACAGGAAGACGTGGATGAGTGATTGAAATAGGATTACTCAAGAACTTTTAGTGATAAGATAATTCCTCCATGGTAAGTTCTTTAATATTTTAATCTTTCTTCAAGGCTTTCAATTATTTTATAAGTCGAGATATATGTAAGTATGTAAGTCTTCTACATGTTTACATCGTTATCAATTTTTATACTTTTTTTTTTTAATTTTGATGAATTTTATTTTTATTTAAAACTATAGTGACATTGAAATTTTGTTCAAGGATATGGAGAAATTTGTTGAAGAAAATTATTTTTAATTAACCTGACTTGACAAAACTTGATGTATCAATTTTTATGGTCTTTATGATCTTAAAGACCAATTGGACGTTCCAGAATGTGTATAGGAGTTACCTTCTTAGTATCAAATGATGTTTCTTAGTGAATACCTGTAGATGAAGATGTGTCATTACATTCCAAAAACTTCATAGGTATTTTAGTAATTTTACGTTTAAAGTTTATTTTTGTAAGAATGTTAGTAGTGTTATCTTTATAGCATTTCCATAACCAAGACGATACATGAGAAACCTATTCCAATTTATAACGGGAAAGGGTGGTTGGAATGTATTTAAAGTGGATCCATTTATTGATAATTGAGTGAAATTTATAATTACTGTGACTGTTGGAACTTGAAAGTAACGCTATTTGAATATTTAACACTTGTTAGATCTTTAAATTTAAAAAAATTTTTATCTAAAGGATTTTATAATTTAGAAGATACATGAGACACCTATTCCAATTTATAACGGGAGAGGATGGTTGGAATATATTTAAAATGGATCCATTTATTGATAACTGTGTGAAATTTAGAAGTACTGTGGCTGTTGGAACTTGAACGTAAGGCTATTTGAATATTTAATACTTGTTAGATATTTAAATTTAAAAAAAATTTTATCTGAAGGATTCTATAATTTAGAAGACACATGCGACACCTATTCCAATTTATAACGGGAAAGGGTGGTTGGAATGTATTGAAAATGGATCCATTTATTGATAACTGTGTGAAATTTAGAAGTACTGTGGCTGTTGGAACTTGAACGTAAGGCTATTTGAATATTTAATACTTGTTAGATATTTAAATTTAAATAAATTTTTATGTAAAGGATTTTATAATTTAGAAGATACATGAGACACCTATTCCAATTTATAGGTGTCCCGCAACTACCGGATTTAAGATCCAAGTACAAATCTCTGTATTTAAACATTGAGATATTTTTTCTGAGAAGGTAAATACTCCTATTATCAAATTTCTAGTAGTAAATGTTTGGCCATTAAATCTAGCATGCAAATATTTAATGTTGCCAAAATTACTGTACTACATACTATATTTCTGATAAATAAAATTTAAAGAAAATGTTATACGATGCATTTTTATTAATAAACAAATAAAAAAATTGGAATCATGTGAAATCTCTCCTATATTACTTGTTCAATCTTTCAATTGACACAATTATGAACTAATGAGGGGTTATTCTACTTGATTTAATAAGTATTTTATATATATTTCATTACAGTTATATGTGATTCTGAAATTTATAACATAAGTATAAGTAATTCAAAACTTAATCGATAGGTTTAGGTTTTGAAATATCCTTAGCCATAATCCCTAGTGCATATGCTTTCTAAGAAATTTGCAAAGAAATAAACTTATTGGCCTGTATAAAGCTAAGATAAGATCATTACTTGGTTTAGGAATCATTATAATCAAGGATATTTTCCACTCACTTAGGTGGTATCCTAATTTAATTATAGCATTAAAAAACCTGGAGTTAAAATATATGATGAATTAGGTGTCGTCATATTGTTGTCATATGCAGAGAAGAAGTTCATTGGCCGAAATTTTCAAGACAATGAGTTGTGGGGTTCGATAGAAGAGTAACGTGATAGTAAGATAATATAAAAAGATGCTTAAATACGAAAAAATAATCCAATTAAAAATTTTTTATAAAAATATACAGATAATTGAGATTTTTAGGGAGAATGATCTAAAATTTAAAAAAAAAAGATAAATCAAAAACATATTAGGTATGAAATTAAAGTATATAGGTATACTTAACAAAAATTAGAATATGATTAATTAAGGTTTTGCTTATGTTCGAATAATCTACTTAGGCCTATTAGTGCATTATGTTACCATTTAAAGATAACCCAGCGGTTTGCAAATCACTTTCAACTTTAAGCAAAGCTTAAAATGCTTTTTAGTGGGAGGTACTGAAAAATTGAAAGAGAAATTAAATGTTCTAGCAAACCTACCATAAGTCTGATATGTCATCTCAATAAGATTTTTGGATTTTTTCTTAACATAAACCATCTTGCATCTTGCAAACAGATGCCTACGTAACGTGGGGTCTTCCAATCTTTTTTTTTATTAAAAAGTTCGGCATAGAAAAAATTTAATTAAAATTTACGTGATGTAGACGATATGCCCAGATTTTTAAGGTATTCCGAGTTATTAGGAGTAGGAGTAGGAGTGAGTAGGAATCAAGAATGCCCAACACCTAGAGAGGAATGAAAACACCGGACAACTGAAAACATTTTATTAACGTGTAATCATGCTAGTATCGGGAAGATGCCAAAAGGTCTTGGGTCACAATATATTTTCATTAGAAAAAATGAAATTATTTTCCGGATAAACTTACCCACATAAATATACTTCTAAAAATTGTTTCTAAGGAGTTAATGCATATAGTATTCCAAATTTTGTTTTTCTTAATTTCTGATTTTTTGTTAAATTACTTCCCATTCTTTATCCTTTAAAACGAAACACGTAATGAACTTGAAAAAAAAAAGACACATCTGCTACAGCACAAATAATGGGAAAGGATGGATGGATTGCTTTCAATTTTAAATGCATTGGAGTTGAAAATTGAATTTGCACTTCATTTCTCGCTTATCTATTGAAAATGTTTCTGCAGCCACTCCGGAACAGCGCATGTGTTCTAATCACTGGTTAGTTGAATGGCTTAGCTTCCTACTTTACCATTCAAGATTTTCCAATCACTTTAACATAAAACGCTAAACCATGACGACGTTCGCCAACAAGCTTTCAACGATGAATGCAATTGAAAGAGACTTTGAAAATTTTTTCAGTTACTGTACCAAGCAAGGATTTTCTACAACACAAATGCTTGATATATGTCAACCTCTATTCCAACAACAACGAAAGGTGAAGACAAAGCGGTTCCTGTTTCTCACAACACTTGTCTTAATTGTTTATTGCTTTTATAATTGGTGCGACTCTTGCGCCTGGTTTTTAAGTGCCATTGGACGTTTGCTACTTATTCAATTGCTACCATATTGGAACTGGGCTCCACTCTACAATGGCAAATGTTTGATTGAACGTCCATTTCAAGAAACAACAACTAATTCATTACCACGTTTAGGACGACATGAAACCGACGTTGATAATTGTGCACTCTGTGAAATGCTCGGTAAGTCTTCCTGATTTAATCAATTACTTTGACTTCATTTTGATCTCTTTATAGATAGTATACCAACGACCTCGAATACTACATTTTCGTATATGGAAGCAAAATATCTAGAACGTGGCTTACCAGTAATAATAACAGATTCTCATGATGAACAAACACTTGATTGGTTGCTTGAAAAAATTCAAAATAATCCTCAAGATTTTTTATCGAGCGATCCTTGCGATATAGGCACAAACCTCATGCTGAAGAAATTCTTCAACCTTGACGTGGCAATACAAAAAATTAAATCTAATAATTCTATGACTAAGTGGTTCTTGCAATTCCGTAACTGTAAGTTTAATGCTGTAAAAGCATCTCGTATGTTTGTTACGCGTCCCTACTACTATCCATTGCATCTCGAACCATTTTACTCTAGTTGGATACTCATTTCACAGGACTATGTTAGTGCAAATCGTGAAATATATTTACAGGGTTTGATATTTGTGCAACAATTAAGTGGATTCTTCGAATTCCATCTACGACCTAAACAACCATGTGGATTCAGTTGTCCAACTATTGATATACGTTTAAGTGCTGGCGAATGTTTAGTTTTCTCCACAGATTTGTGGGTATTCAGCTATGAAATGTTGGAAAGTAAGAATAACAGCATTTCAATCGCAACAATTTTGGAGATCGATTGGCATTTATAAATAAAAGTATAAAAATTTGAAAAGAAAGATATGTACTAGAGACAATGTAGTAGTAAAAAAAAAAATAAAAACTAATATAAACAAAATTTTTATTTGAAAAACATAGTGATTAATGATCACTAATAATAGTTCTTTAAAGGTTATAAAATAAATCCTTAACTTTCTCGTGGTCAAAAGTCATAGCAAACTTCATGCCAAGTGGTAAATATATAACTTTATATCTAAGTCCTTAATCTCAAAGCATTCATTTCATTGCTAATTTTACCAATAATCTTTTTTTTTTTGTATTATTTTAGATAACAAAATATCAATTATGAATATATATAATAAATATATATCTGCTTCTTATCTAAGGCATTTTTGTTTCTAGTGTATCAAATTTTAAAAGATCCATTTAAAAAAAAACGAAAGCTTTTCTAACTTATAAACTATCCATACACTTGTTAAGAACAATTTGTTACTAATTCTTAGTCTTTATTCGCATGACAATCCGGAAAGCAATAGTACTTTGTCAACCACTTCTTTCTATCTTTCTCTATCTGCTGCCCTTTATCTTTAATTTTATACTCTCAGTGCTTTTAAATCAGTAAATACTGAATTCATATTATTTTGTGGCACTCTATATCGCTATTTCCAATGGACATTCTCAATTAAATAGGATTTACTGTTCTATTGACAGGAGTACTTACAACATGTTCTAACCACTATATGCGTTGAGGTTTGACATATTTTAAAATGTTTCAACTGATTAGTATCGTCTATTATTTTTTTCTGTTATTTTCTTCTATTATTCAGATTTCACAATTATTATACTAAAAGTGCCCGGCAATAAAAAGTAAAATGTACTGACATTTGCAAAGTTTCATACTCTATACCGAAATAGAATACGTTAAGATTCAAGCTCCAGATTGCTAAGCTGAACACATACATAGTCTCCAACCCCTTCTCATCTTTTATATTTTCCCAGTTATATATATATAGTATATCTATTCTCTAATAATGCAGTCGGAATGTACGTCCTGGGACGTACGGTCTTACTAGCCTAATGACAGATTACAACAACAAAATTATTTTTCTCTGTAAATTAAAGAAAAATTTCAAATTATTAGATAAGTGCCTGAAAACGCATCTGAGTCTTTTTCGCCTTCATCCCTCTAAATAAAAATCTAAATATTTAGATTATTAAAAATATTAATCGTTTAAAGCTAACGATTTTCTGGATGTAAAATTCTTTGGTTAGAAACTTAAAAGAAAGAAATCCTGACAAAAATATATCGCTTCAAATACAGTTGTGGTCCATATTAACGACCGATATATATTTTTGTCATTCATTATATCAAGTATTTATTTAAAAATTTATATTGAATACATTTAATTCCAATTATTTATTTTTATAAAATAAATATTACACTAAATGTGTTAATTATTAAATTTAGAAAGAAATACCGAATTACGTATTCATTGAAACCTGAAATGTATCTAGGCTTAAGATATACCTATTGAATTATTATTAAGAAACTCTACAATATGCGTTTGCCTTATTAGCTGGTTTCAATGTGCTATACTTTTTAAATAGTTATTTCTATGAGGCTCGTCTCTTTATTAATATCAGATAATGCAATTGGAGTCTTATCGTAGTTAGTGCTGGCTTCTTGAAGTAAACTATGATCCGCGTTCTTCAAACACTTGAAATGTGTACTAAAGTATACAAAATAATTACAAACATAATGCTGTTAAATGTTTTTGTTCTGGAGAATATTAATGGTTTGTACCTTTGTAAAAATCAAATTAACAATATCTACACTCTCCTTCATTGTAGGCATTTCATTTCAGTTTCAAAAACTATATATTATACTATATTATTAGATTTAAATGGTAATCACTTGTTATAAAGACAACTTGATATTGCAAAGCGTTCGTTATTTAGAATAATTAATGGAGTTGAGAAAAAAGTATATTATATCGAGCATTCGTTATTTCGTAACTCGTAACACTACTGCATTATTTCGTAGTATTGTTCATTTGGTTTGAAAATTTTACTTTGTTATGATTTCCAGACTATTCATTTTATAATTTATAAAATTTTTAATTAAAAAATAAATTTTAAATAAATTAAATTAAAATTTTATAACTAAATGTTTTATAAGCTTATAAAACTAAAAGTAATCAAAAGATACAATATTGAATATTTAACATTTTCCTACATTTAATAATTTATTTAAATTCTTATTTCTACATATATATATATAGTATACATTGTGTTTATATAGTTATAGCAGAGAGATAAATTCATAGAAATACAAAATCTCACAAATTCAAAACATGGTGATAAATTATCCAGCTGCAAAGAGCAGACTAACCAATATCTCAAATACAACGAACCTTCTTCTATAGTCGATTTTTATTCATATTCCATATTATGTTATTTATAATAATATTATTTTAGTTGCTGTTAGCTTGCATATTTTTATTTTTTTACATTTTTGGTGCTGTCAACTGGCACATTTTTATTTTATTCTTAATTTTTTTAGTGCTCGTAATTGGAACTTTGTCTCATTTTTATGTAAATATATATGTTTCAACTAAATTGATATGAATTCAAATAAATATGACACCTCATACATTGTATGACATTTTCAATTTCATAAATATTCAAATTTCTTTAAAAATATTAGGTATAACAACAACAACAACAACAATGTTTCTTTTTATATCGTAAATAGAAAAAGTTTTTGTTACACTTTCATTCATATTTGAGCTGAAGGACCTGCTCTAGGCAGTTGGCACTTATTTTTGGTTAGTTTGTAGTGTATAAGATTTAGTATCTCCATGAATTTATGTTTCTGATAATAGGATAACGATATTTAGACTTTCTTCATCTTAGTTTCTACAAGTTTCTGAAGAGTAGAGGTTAAATTATTTATAGCTTCGATTTTGATTCGTTCAATCTTTTCCTGTTGTAGCAAAGCCATTTTATTGAATTGCATCATTTCCCGATGCATATCAGATTGTTGTTTGAGCTTCCTCTCAAAATAATCCATCCACCAACCACTGTTCGTGTCTTGTTCAAATTTAGAATTATTCATGAAATCAAAATTATTTCCATTGGGGAAGCCATTTAAAGGCTGCATATGCAAATCATTGGAATTATCATTTTCACTTTTATATTCCATTTTAGGTTGTTTTAGCTCTGACATGGTTGTGCTATCTTCATCAAATTCATCATTTGACTTAGTATCGATTTGTACATGTGGATGTAAAATGGATTCGTGTGGACTATACATTCCTTGTATATTATTTGTTATCTGTATACGTGGTGGCTTTTGATCTGTAGTGCTTTGGTAATTTTGATTTAACGGCGTTGGTGTGCCGGACTGCTTTATTTGTGGTGAATTACTTTCAATCTGTGATTGCGAATTTAACTGAAAACTGGCATCACAATCAGCTTTTTTACCTTGTAAGTACTTAAACATATCCTCGAAAAATTCCCAATGCACAAAACCACAAGCATATTTTTTACTGAGATTTTTGTTATATGTAATTAGGATATTATGCCACTTTTTTTGTACTTTTGCAGCGCTGTAGCGATAGCCAAGTCTCTGTAATTGTCGAGTGCAACTCAACCAAAGTGCGGTACGTTTTTGTCTGCCCTCAGTGAAACGATCTTCCATAGGACCACGTATATGAATTAGAGCACGTGTTGCATCATTTGTCCAAGCTCGCTCATATGGACCACGACTGTTGCTGAATACATGAGGGTTTTCAGGTTCGTCCAACAAACAATCATCGTCAAAGTCCTCTAGATCATCATCACTGATTTGATAAAAAGCTATAAATTACAAAAAAAAAAATACTTTGATTAGCTAGGACATTTTAAAACCTTATTATTAAATTATTTAATATTATTGTTGAAAATCGGATTTAACATTAACTAAGTAATTCGTTTGAATTTCTTTTAATTCAAATTTCATATTAAAAGAAAATAAATTGTATGTCACACATATCCACATACATGTATTCTTTTTTTAATATTATGAATATTATATTTTAAAGATATAAGAATTAATTAATATTTCATTCTAACTGATAAATTAATGCAAAACTGTTTTTCTCAACTGTTATACATTTTTCTACAGTGTATGCATTAAATGGTAGACTGGCAGCACTTTTCTTATCCTCCTTTTTGTGTTTCATTTTCTAAACAAAAATTTAAAACTACAGTTGAACTTCCATGGAATTATTTTTTTTGCCTGCGCACTGAAGCTGTACCTAACTTCTCCTATGTTTCAGCTCTTTTAGAAAACTGTTTTAATATATCTAGCAAGTATAACAGTACTGTTTTTTGTACACAAAATTAAAAATTCATGCCAAACAACAAACACTTTTTGGCATAGCATCACCATAAATTTGAAGCAGATTCACTGTTTTTTATATAGACACTTTATTAAAAATTTATTTCAATCTTTTTCTTTCTAAAAAAAAGTACTTAAAAGTAAATAAATAAATCGTGCTTACTTTCACTTTCGTTAATAGGAATTAATCCGGCATTAGCAACAACACTTGCCATCATTAAATAACAAACAAATTTCTTGACTTTTTATGCTTTATCAATAAAATTAAAAAATTTTTATATTGAACTATCGCTGTACTACCGTCGTCCTTAGATCTGTGTCAATTCAATAGTTTTCTGTCACTACACTAAAATGCAAGCAGCTGAATAAAATCTTTCTAGCAGCAAATGAAATAATTAATAAGAGAGCATCACTAACTCTCCTAGATCTGAGTTTTGACAAAAGTAGTGTGAAATTCTACACCAACACATGTGTTTGTGTGCTTGTGTGCAATGCAGGCTAATCTCATTTTTAACCCTCTTCTTTTTACAGCCCTAGAACATCCCTTATTTTCTTTCATTCCATTGCTAGTTTTCTATGCTGTGCACAGAATTATAAATCTGGACCAAAGCAAAAGGGAGGAATGTTGAATAAAAACATTTCTAGCGAAAGGTGAATTCAAAATGTTTATGTTTTATAGAAACGACACGATTTTGTGTTCTGTTTGACATTTAAGGCAGAAGGAAGAATTTTTACGCAGACAAAAACTGCTATTATGCGCACTAAAATTTTTAAATTTATATACAATGGATTTGTCTTTTAATTAAAATAAATATAAGAAATTACCATAAATGCAACAGAAAAATTTTATAAAAAATTTGTAAAGGAACAAATTTCCAAAGTTAAATTATTAATAAAAATTACATATTAAAAGAGATGCAATAATATTTGAATGATTTATATACACATAAATATTTTCAGTTATTTAAAAAAAAATTACTATTAAAATAATAAATTTTGAAGATTATCTAAAAAAAAATTGCAACAAGTTTTGAAATTATTGAAACTGAAAAACAAAAATTACAATTACAAAAAATGTTAAGGCTTCTGTCAATTCGACAGAAAATCTACCTGCATTTGCTTCCACATTACAACTGCTCTTGACTACTCTGCTTCACTACAGATTCATATGTATATATCTCTGAAATGTTTTTAAAACTTATTTTATTTAACATAAACATCAATTTAACACTACCCAAAAATAATGAATATATGAATACTCACTAGATTTGCTACACATATGTATATAACTTTCTTCAGAAATTCAGAGAATATATATTTTTTATTATTTAGAATCTTAAAGACTAATAATATTACATTACAAATTATTTTATATAAACACACTATATTGAAATATATAATAAAATGTAAATTATTTTAATGAGCTTCTTAAAAAGTAGCCAGGGCTTATTTATCAGATATCACGGCGAATAAGTTGAATTAATCAAGGTAATCTTTAGGAAAGCAGGATGGCAGGTCTATCATTCCGTTTTAGTCTAGAGAATTTGTCATATTAGCCAGCCGATTCACATAATTTTAAAGATTTGAAAAATTGAGAATAGAGTTTTTATATATTATTTAGTTACAAAATGAAAAAAATATTAAAGAAAAACCGTAAAAAAGTTAAAATTAAATTTTAAGTAAAACTTGTATTTTATTTTATATTCATTTTTATTTATATATTTTGGGATAAGAATAAAACAGGAGTAGTGAAAATAGCGATTTTATGCGTGGTGTAGAGCGACTTCCTACACGAGATGATCCTGTCTAGCTGAACATAGTGGATCTAGACCAGAGAAGGTCCAGAAATAATCCTGGTGGACGAGACCAGCACTCTATCCATCTGTAGTTAAATATTTGCTCGAAGAACAATTGCCTCGAATAAAAATAATAGCACTAATGACGGCCTAACAAAGAATAATGACCCGGTCGATCGCCGAAGAGATGGCATGAATGCTGGACGTCTGGCTCTACAGTTATAAATATATCCAATTAAATTGTTGTAGCAAAACAAGATTTTAGAAGAAGAAAAAGACATATATTTTGTTCAAATACTTCAAATTGAACATAAATTGTGCATACTACACAGTAATAAAAAGGTTCTGATATGTGAATTTCAAAACAGCTGATTTTGTTTGTGCTTTTGTATATTAAAGAATTAAATGAAAAAAATGTTTCAATTTAAGTAAAATTTGTTTATTTTATATAATTATTTATTTCTACCAATTATTTTTTAAATATTATATTATAAAATACTAAATTTAAATTTTGTGCAGCACTACACAATAATAAATAAATGTTTTACCGGAAACATAGAATCATTAAACTTGAAGCCTCGTTACCTTAGTAACGTTGTAATTTAACACAACCAATATGAAATATAAAATACACACAAATTTTATCATTTTACCAAGTTACCGAGCACGTGTAAATATCCATATTATATATATATTTAGTTCCAACAAATTGGTCAACAAGAGGCTATTTAGACGTACAAACGACAAATAAATCGGGTGATATACCAATTCAATTGCACGACGTTACGAAATTGCAATCACCGAACTATTCTAAAAAATACCATATTAAAAACAATTGATTTATTCTAAAGTAGAAGATATTATGTTGAAATATTTAACATTTTTTATGCAATCAATTAAGTAATATGGCGTTTACACTAGCTCATTTTACTGACTCATTTCAAATTAGTCATTTGAAACTGTTTACATTCCTTGTTATTAATTTTTTCTTATTTCAAACAGCTGATTTGTCAATGTGCCTGATTATTTCAAGTAAAATTTATGTTGATGTGTAAATCAACTGTTTTGGTTTGAATTTAAATTTTTGAATTGTTTATTTGCGAGCCACTGGTGTTGTCACTAGACTTTACACAAAGCTGTTCTATTAAAATCTGTGTAAAAAGCGTAATTTGGCATTTTATTTGTATTACGTTCTTAGTTTGTACTTTATTTGTGTTTTATTTGAGTATTACCCCGAGTAGCCCGTGGAGCAGACTTAATATAAACTGAAAATTTATTTTTAGCTTCGATTAAAGTACTTTTTGGAAAGTAGAGGTTCCAAAAAGAGGTGTATCGTTTTTATTAAATACAACAACCAAATATTTGTTTATCTTTTTTGTATGAATATGTCAAAAACAATATTCTTAAACTGTTCAATGGTATGCGGTATGTTCAATGTATTCATTTGCATTTAAAACTCATTTGAAATTCGTTGGAACTCATTTATACAAAATAAGATCCATTGCACGAATGTGCATCTTATTTTCGCGTATGAGAATTTGTATACAGAAATCAATCATTTACTTCTTATTTGTGATTTTTGACCCAAATCAGTTAGTTGACGCCAGAGTAAACGCCATATTACAAAGCATTGATGTCAATAAATTTAATATATTTATATCAATACATGTATACTATATATATGAGACGAAGCTCAACAGTTGTTTTAAATGAATTAAGAAAATGGAATTGTAACTAAACAAGTACATTAAAATTAATATACTGGAAGCCTGTATTAAACTTATCCTTATTTTTTTATGGAATTGTTCTTGATAGACCTACATGAGTTGAAAGGTAGACTTTCATATTTTTGTTCTTTTTTATTCAGTTAAAAACTGAAAGCATCGAAAGCTCCAATGTAAGACTTGCAATCATTAAAAGCACTTTTTATGCATCAATGTTTACCTTTTCTCCCAATGTGGCCGCAAATCTTCCCTATATCACACTTACTCCATCCATCTAAATTTTATGGTCTAATATTTCCTGAGAAATCATTTTTTATTTAATATAGTATACGGTCAGTTTCACGAGTATTAATCAATGGAGATATATAATATTCTATAGTAAAGTAAGCTGTATATAATAATTGATTACTTATTATTTAATAAGTTAAGTTAAATATCTTTCACTTAATAATATATATTAGTACTTGAATTCCATATACATATTTTTTATATATTATTTTCGATATGATTTTGTTTAATTTTATTTAGTTTTAATAACATAAATAATGCGCTAAAATTTTTTAAAGTGTATTTCGGATATTCTACGCGAACATCTGTTTTTGACAGTATTGAAATTGGCGCGGCGTTAAATGCTTTTCATGTCGTTAATAAATTTGTTGTTTTTAGTTAATTTATAAATAATACAATTATGACTACTACAAATAATGAGGAAATGTAAGTTATAATCAAATTAAAATATATATATATATGTTATATATTTTTCATTTTTTTAAGGCTTGATTGGAAGCGCTTGTGGCAATTAGTTTCTGGCATTAATTATGAGACTCCCGAGGACACCGTTCAGACTGAATTACTTAGTGTAGCAAAAGAACTTGAATGTGGGCTATTGCAATTTAAGGATATGAGTGCATCTACAATCGACATTGAAAAGTTATTACAGCAAAAGAAGCAAGAAAAATTATTAATGTTCACACAGCGCTTGCAAGAGTTGCTAAATGTGGAGTCAAAACAATGTTGGGAGATATTATGCTATTATCTACAAAATGAATATCGCGGTTCCGCTAGTTTACTGACTGTGCTTCTATCAACTGAGACTAATATGAGTAAACTGCTAGATAATATTTGGGGCTATTACACGCTACAACGTATGATTATCTTAAAAATAGTCAAAAATCTCTTCATATATTTTAAAGTACCTAGTCATCCATATCATCATGAATACGAAAAAGTGGTTGAACATATTTCAATAGAAAAATTGCAAAAGTCTTATTTAAAACAATTAGAATTTTTAATAAATGAAAAGCCGCCAGGTAAGCTGGCGTCAAGAGAATTTTTTAATTTTAACGAAAAACTAATTAAGTGGTCGGAACGGAATGCACGAGAGATAAATGAAGTATTACACATATTATTACTGATAAGCGAGCAGTTGCCGTTTACATTAGAACAAATCAAAATATTATTTGAGTGCTTTAAGCAGCATGCTTTTGGTAGGCAGCAGCAGTACTTCGTTAGCAATAATGGCTTGCATCAAGAACTAATACAACGTATCACTTATTCGGAACTCATACTTTTTCTAAAATGCGTCGATTTTAATGATGTCGAGAAATGTAAAGATATTGCTTGTGAAGTAATAGATGTATTGGCAGATGATATTGAGCGTATGTACCACAGGCCAGAGAATGGACCAATGCTTTTGGCATGGATGTTGCTTAATTTCCGTTTTAAAAATGCAGCTGAAAATTTGGAGTCTTCTCGTAAGTTCAGGTTATTCGGTAAACGAGCTATTGACCTAGAATGCTTTAAATATTTGCGTAGTATGCTAACTAATGAAATGCTTAGGGTAAGCAAATTTATATATTTTGTCCCAGTATATTTTTATTTTAAACATTATTTTTAGAATGATAGTCTAGTGTCACAAATTGCACGCAGAACAGTGCATAACCTGCTAAGCTATATGTGCGACTTATTTGACAACGATGGCACATGTGCTAGTTACCCTTTCATATATGAATTGCTGGCTGAATTACTCTCTTGGCCCACGTTAGCGAAGCAATTTTGTAGTTCCGGTAAGTCTTAAAATAAGTAATTTAAATATTTATTTTAACTAATATATGGGCCTTTCTTTAGAAACTGGCACACGTTCCTTGTATAATACATTATTGGAAATATTTCCATATAATTTTATGCACATATCAATGTTGGCAACTGCGTTAGTAAAAGGTGGTCAGGGAGCATATGTAAGTTTTTAGTTTAAATTGTATTTATAATAGATCAATTTATTTTTTTTTAAATCTCTTTAACCAGGTTAAGTCTCAGCTGGAAGAGTTACCAATTTTTACTGATACGTATGAGCACTACGGTACTGTTTTGCGTGCAGTCAGTGTAGATGATTATGTACTCACAAGAAATATAAATCCTTTTCCGCATATTGATTATACTATTTATGAAGGAACAACTGTTGTAGTTATGTCCCGTGAAGAAGGCTATTGTGTGCATTTTCGAAAGAATGTCAACTATTTCAATGTCTTGCAACATGAGATGAATTGTTTGCTTTCAAGCACTACGCAGATTAGTAAAGATTTTATAAAAGGTGATCGGATTTCACGTGTTAACGAAGGACTTAAATATTTGTGCGCTGAGTTGCAACGTACAAAATCAATAGCAGCTATAAGTGCTGAAATGGTTCACCCAACAGAAATGTGTATAGACTTGCTTAACAAATATAAATATCTACAAAATCCACCAGTCGTGCTCTTGGCGAATTGTCTTAATGTGTGCACGGCATTATTGCGTCTGGTAGATCAAGAAATATACTTACGTGTTATTAATTTGGATATTTTGCCTGTCATTACAAATACCACATTGGATGATTTCAAAAAATATTCGATTGGTGTACACTTTGACTCCAAACTTGTTGGTAGCTATTTAGTAGAAATTGAAAAGAAAACTGAGTGCTATGATTTTTTTTTGGCTTACTTAAACTTTTTAAGAACTTATACGAAGGTAATTTAATAGTTGTACTTTTTTTTTTTGAATGAGTTATGAAAACAGATTTTTAATTCCAGCTTCAACGTCA